TGTGAATGATTCAGTGTCCATTTAATAACCCCCCTGACTTCTTGGGCAGGCTCTTTCCAGTCTTACACGTACCCCGTACAGATCAAAGGCAGTGATCAGGAAGGATCCGTCCGGCCCCGGCCCCCTCGGTCAGCTCTTGCTGGATCCTCATCGGGGCACTGCCGCAATTCCCTGGCGGGCGCATGCGGGGAGGCTCCGCCCAAAGTACCGGTACCTCTACGGCTGAAATACGTACCAGAGAGCACGACCTGGTCCACTTTTACGCCAACCCGTCTTGGGAAAGTCTAGAGAACCTCATCAAACTCTCTTTCTCTCGCTGCATCTTCTTCTTCCTCCATCCCTTGTCTGCTTCTTCTTGGCATCACAACTCGCATCAGGCCCGCTTGGCGGCCAATCAACCTTCCCAAGGATGTGACCTTTTGTTCCTTACTTTGCCTGGTGCGACTGACCGATACGTCGGGCATCGCACAGCCCGGTGTGCCGCTGACTGTGGCCCAGCTCTGCAGACTGACTTGTACGACGAACTTCTGATATCGAAAGGCACAAATGTAATGTTCCATGCTCAACCACCAACTCGCATATGCGGTCTATTTCGAGAAGACGACGAGGTCTCTGTTCTTTCCTACAGTGATTTCTAATCCTGTCTTCTAGCCTTCTCCTGCATGTCATCTCTAGGCAGCTAGAGTTTCTGCTACCTTACTTTGGGTAGGGCTGAGGAGAAGGAAGGAGGATTACTTCCATCTTGTCGAAAGTTTCATCTCGGTCCTTGTAAGTGTCACCGTCGCTTTTCGTCTTTCCTCGCTTCCTCGGAATATCGGCCCTTGAACATATAAGCTTGTTATTTCTTTGTCACAGCTTTGACTGACACCGTACATCGCAGACGTTCTTCACGACGAGATGCTGCTGTTTTTGCTCAAAGTTTTACTCCTCGGAGCACTGCTCCTTGGACTCGTTTACTATTTTCTTCTCTTGCCTCCTAGATATCCGCAAAATATCCCAGCGATACCGTTCTGGGTAGCCCTCATTCCCTTCTTCAAGGACGTTGATCAGTCGGACATTTTCCGTCAGTACATTGACAAGCCGCTGCGTACCCACGGAGCAGTCAAAATTTTCTTCGGCGCGCAATGGAACATCTTGGTGCATCGGCCCTCGTATCTGGTTGAGATATTCAAAGACGAAGACTTGTACGAGAAGAGCGGCAACCAGAAGAAGATTCCTCACAGCGTCCTGGCAGAGTTCCTCGGCAAGTGTCCTTTGTCACACTTAGTGCTTCGCAAACGTTCTAACCCGCAAACAGGCGACAATGTCATCTCGGCGAGAGGCGACGTCTGGAAGAACTATCGTTCGGTCATCAAGCCAGGCCTCCAGAGGACATTCGATGGTGAGATCATCGAAAGCAACGCAGTCAGCCTGTGCCGTCTCCTTCGCGAATCCCAAAAGCGGGCCGGCAGTGGCGGCGGCGGCGTTGCTGTGCAGGATCTGTTGCAGCGGTATTCCGTGTCCAACTTCACCGAAGCCGTGTTGGGTACCAAATTGCATGTAAGTCGCCCTGGCCCCCACGACAACGCCGAATCTAGCAGGGGTGTTTCGCAGCGTGCTGACCGCAGCCGATTCTTCGTAGGCACTCGACAGGGCAGATGCTCCTATCAATCTCCTCCAGACGGCGGTCAAGAGGGAGATCTTCAAGCCCATCTTTATGAGCTTTCCGTTCCTCGACAGGTTGCCACTCAAGTCTCGCTTGGCGGCCCGACGCACTGTGGGCCTCTTCAAGAACGAGCTCAAACGCGCGCTGCAGGCGAGCCACCACATGCCTGTGGAGAAGACAACATCCCTGTCGGGCCAATACGACGACAAACTGGGCAGACGCATGCTCGACGCCAGAGCATCGGGCATGTGGAATGAGAAGCAGCTCCTCGACAACCTCACCGTAGCATTCGTGGCCGGTCAAGAGAACCCACAATTACTAATGATATCGAGCCTGTACCTTTTGGCAAAACATCCTGTAAGTCAGCAAACATGCCCAGGCCCGTGCCGTCTCACGCGTGCGTTCGTTGCTGACATGACTGGTGGGGTGTTAGGAGGCGCAAGAGGCTTTGCGCCAAGAAATCCTTTCCAAGGATGCCAAGTCTTCAGCAGATCTGGCCAAAGAGGACATGCCGTTTCTCACCTCGCTCATCTACGAGTGCCTACGCTTATTCCCTCCTATTGGTCAATTGATCAACCGGAAGGCGGCGGAGACGGCGCTGCTAGGCGGCGACGTCGTAATCCCAAAAGGGACATATGTCGGCTACCACTGCTATTCAACAAACCGATGCCCGACTGCGTGGGGTCCCACAGCAGACAAGTTTGACCCCGGACGGTTCGTCTTACAAGCACATACTTTGAAATATCATGAAGCTCACATTCGCAGGTGGGGATCGTCCTCAGAAGTCATTCAGCAAACCTATCGCCGCCGCCGGGCAAGGGGGGAGTGGATCAGCTTTCATGGTGGTAAGACGGGCTCCAGAGGAGGAGTGGTGAATCATTTTGTCATCGTAGTCCTGCTAACTCTATCCCAGGCAAACGCGCATGCCTCGGAGAGAAATTCGCAATGTTGGAAATGAGGACCACCCTGATCCAGCTGGTCCGCGAGTTCTCCTTCACTTTGGACCCGATGTGGGTTGACCGCAAGACTCCGGTAAGTTTAAGAGTGCCGCTGCCTATGTCCCCCCGGTAGACCGAGCTCTTCTCCACTCTTTCTAGATTTTCGGCGCTGACGAAAAGCTTCTTGTTCGCTTTTTCTCCAGGCCGGTCCCCTTTATCCGCGTGCACTTCGGCTGGTTTTGACAGACAGGGTTGACGATGAAAAGAGCGTCGTGAACTAGACAAACTTGGGCGATCTACGGGTTCGGGCGGTTTGGTGTAGATTGAGTTTTGATTTGCTCTCTGGGGGTTTAGATAGGGTTACAAAGTTTGATAATCATAGTGATAATAAGACGCTACCTCCCGATGAACAGGTACTTCCCGCATCATCCCTGACCAAACTCTCGGTTCTCCATAATTCAGAACCAGGGTTTAACGCTTCTAAATTAATCGACAGGCATGATTGGAGAAGGCCGCTTCGATCTTCGTTCAAATGCATTAGAAGCGAAAGTACGTCCACCCAATGGAAAGCATCTCCTCCACGTATCCGTACATGAACCTCACAGCGACCCGAATGCAACTCCAACTTTCGAAAAGCCGCATTCCAACGCCAAGAGAGCCGCGCCATAGTCGGTGCATACTGCGTATGCTGGCTGCGGTATCTTGAGGAATCTCAATAAGCAGCCTACCTGCACTGCGGGCACGGAAATGCAAAGTACAAATAAACATATGCACTCGAGTGGAAACATCTTTTTTCGCGCGTGAGAAATCAGGCGGGGAAATCATTCGCTTGCCATTTTTTGCAAGAAATGACCGCCATGCGGCCCATGGAAGCGCAGCATCGGACTTCGGTGCCTTGGCTTTACCCTGCCTTTCCCTTTCATCCCCCCCTGTCAGCACGTCCTTTGACTTTGACTTTGCCGAAGTCTTCGAAAATGAACAACGACGACGCCAAGGCCTGACAGCTCTGAGCTAAGAGAGATATGGCAACCCAAGACCGAGATGTAAGGTTTGCTGCTTAGCGCGCAGGCCCGCATGGCTGGTCCTTTAAGGTAGTGGAGTGTCTTGTCTTTTGCCTTCGCCCCAAGGTGATCTTAATGGCGTGATGTTAATGGGATTTGATTAGTCGTATTGGTTCGTTCGGATGGAAGCCTCGACTTATTCTTAGTCTGTGCCGAACAGCGTTTTTGTTCTTCCAGTCTTTCTCCTAGAGGCTCGTCTTTTCTAACATCGAGACTGGCCTCCCTTCTCGACCAACGACAACCGTCGTTGAACGATGCTGGCAAACGTACCGTCGTACCCCCACTTTCCATGGACACTTGAATCCTTGCTTGCTTCTCGAGGGGCTGACCATGGATCATCATCAGATGGCCTCTTCCTTGTAATACGCGACCCAAACAGCGTGTTCGTACCTGTACACAGTACAATGAGCCTGAACGACCCCCTGGTCACAGCTCTATGGGGACACAAGACCTGAATATCTTGTGTTACCCTAAGGAACTCGGTCTTTCTCAGCAAAAGGGAAGAGTGCGAGAGAAAATAACCAAGAGCCACAAAAAGGAGGATCGAAGGAAAAGGTCAGGTCCCCTTGGCTCATCCGCCTGCCGCCCGCTACAGGCATCTTGTTCATGCCCCCATTTCTACGGACTGCCCCTCCTCTACTAAGCATCCATCCCAGCCCTGCTGCTGAACTCTGTACATGTACAACGATCTTGGTCCTTTTCTTTCGCATTTCTTCCAAGTTGGGCAAAGCCTCGATTCAGGATTCTTCGGTGATCCCATATATGCAACCTGTCTGTGGGCTAGGTAGACTAGGAAGGCTTCATCCCCTGTCCCGCCACCTTCCTCTGCTGAAGAACTTCTTGCTAAACCCTCTTCCTTCCTTCGGCAACAATCGGGGCTTCCTTGTATCCATACAGCCAGCAACATCTGTCTTATTTTTGTTCCTTCCTGTGTTGAGCTGACAATAATCCTATCTGCGTCGAAGCGGCACAAACGCAATCCAACGCCTCGTTTTTCTCTTGGGTCTGTCTTGATCGTACGGTGGACACATTTCACAGCCCGCCTCGGTATTCCTCGAGTTGAAGAAGGACGTTTTTCTCACACAACCTACCTAAACATAATCGTACCACCTGAACCACGAGCCGCGTCCAATCGGATCAATCAGGCCCCCAAAAGAAGACTTCTAGAAGTGTTGGTGTCTTCTAGAGTTGCTCTACCGCCTTCTTATGTTTAATGTTATAATAAGCCCTCCTCGAGAGACCACCGGATTCTCTACCTAATCAGCAAGCCACGACATCATCACGAAACTCTATAATTCCCTAATCACTACTCTAACATCAGACGACACATATTCTTAATCCCTTTTTCTTTTCACAATGGAGTTCTCCAATGACGGTAGTTCCATCTTCCACCGGTTCCAGGCCGCCTTCGTCCACGACGGGCAGGGACAGCTGCTATACTGCACCGGGCCGCAGAAAGGCTACGTGCAGCAGCAATGGGACTCGTCCATCAGCCACAAACTCCCCAGCCAAAAGTTTCAGACATCAACAGGAGAAAGCACAACGGCACCAAGCAAACCCGTGTCCGCAAACCTCGATGGGCCGTGCCAGGGCTGGAAACTCTATGAGATGCAGCGGAGCGCTTCCAGCACGACGGCGGGCTTCATCATCGATGCCGCCACTACGTCTCAGCAAGACACATCCAGCGCACAGTTTGATGATTTTTTTGTCCAACTGCTCTTAGACCAAGCCGACTTTGCCATCCGCGACCATGAGCGGATGAAGTGTGGCACCTCTACAGCCTCCCCTACAGACGCCACATCCGAGATCGTCAATCTTTTTGACAGCTTTCTCAGATATCAGGGCAAAGACGATCAGTGGGAAGCGAGCGGCAAGGCTTATTTCACGGAGCGTGTTCGGCATTTCATCTCGCAGCAGGCCAGAATCGAGCTCTGTCTTCCTGCATTCCCGTGTAAATCGTCAAATACCAACAAGGTCCTCGGCAAAGCCCCTGACCGCGGAGAGCAACTCGCTCTCGAGCGACTTCACGAATTTGTAGAGGCTATCGAGAGAGTGTATGAGCCCGGTGCCAAGATGTGGATTATCAGCGACGGTCACGTCTTTAGCGATTGCAGTAAGTCCAACAAAAGAAGAAAAGAAAAAAAAGGGGGGGAGGGCAATATTCGTGGCTTACAGAACTGACAATCCACTTAGTCGGAGTTGACGATGAAGATGTCGATGTGTACGGCGAGCAGTTGAAGGAGATGAACCGCGCAGTCGGCGTCAGCAGAGGCAACACTGACAGAATTGGTTTCAAGTCGCTCGTCGACCTGTTTGAACTCAACGAGTCAAAGTCTCAGCATAAGCTCTCGTCGCTATCAAAGGATCTCAACATCCCAGACATTGAGCACCACGTCGAGACGAAGCTGACGTTGGAGGCTGAGCTCTGCAGACGGATCCTCATGGCGGGCTGCCAGCCCCAGGAGTCTGCGGTGCGGGCCAAGATCAAGTCCCAGAATCCAGCCATTCTGGCTTTGTATCGCGGGTTCTCGAGGTTCATGCTGGAGGACCTCGAGCTTCACCCTTTTACTCTGGGCATGACACGAAGTCAGAGGAAGAAGTTGTCGCCTAAGGTGGCGTTTGAGATGATCATGGTAAGCAAAACATGCAGCACCAATCATATTACGTTGTCTTTCCCCTTTTGTCTCAGATTGCTAACTTAACGAACAGAGGAACCAAGCATACTCTAATCTAGTCGAGCTGCTTCTTCCTAACCATGTCCGTCTCTCAATTCACGCGTATGTTCCGTCTAAAACCAAACCCTTTCGGCCAATATGCTTGAGTCTAATATATCTCGATGTTATAGCCACAACAACGCCGGTCCCAAATTCGGGATTCAACTCTTCGACCCCGCCGTCGTCCGCGCCGTCGAGGGCCTCTCGCCGGATGGTACGCCAATGACCTCCCGTGACCTGCTTCACATTCCCACGCCATGGCATAACTGCGTCGTCGAGGTGGAGGGCAGCCCGTACCTTCTCGTTACCAAGGCCAGTGTCCCTCGCCAGGCGGTGAGCCTGGGCGCTGTGACCGGTGAGATCTCCACCAGGAATGCGCCCTGCTTCGTCCTACGACCAAAGAAAAGCAACCCTTCTGCTGCTTCCAAGAGAAGTAGCGAGGAGAAGAAGGAGGAGGATGAACAGGAGGTCGCCGTGGCGCCCGTTGCCCAAAGACCTATCGTAGCCCCTGCACCAATCCCAACTCAGAGGCCTAGGGCTGCTGCGAAGGGCAAGGGACGATTTGACTGGGTTCGGAGGCTGGCTGCATTCCAAGTTATTGGCTGGCTTGGGATGACTTTCTATCACCGCTTTGTGGAGATGTTTGTTTGAAAATGGGGTATGAATGAAGATAATGGAGTACAACACAAAGCCTGTGAATCGGAGTTGGACAAATGGGAAACTGGGGTGTTGAATCAGGCGTTTTGTTTTTCTTGATAGAAAATGTCTAATCTTCAATCATTCATACTTCAAGCAATACTTGCTCATGTTTCTCTACCTGTTCCCTGTCGCTGGATCCAGTTCTATGTTGTCGAAGTCACTGTACTTTGTCGAATATTCCCAGGGTCTTGAGCAAATTACCTGTCGGATTGGAAGTCCAATTCGACCTCGAGGCAAGGGGCCCGCGCAGGGGCCACTTACAGACCATACTTACGAGATCTACGGTCTACCCAACCTCCGGTTAGAACCTCCTTTTTACACCTTACGCAGAAGTTAAATATATATAGATTTTGACCTCTTCGTCACCCACGGTTCGAACCATCCCTGTGATAGGAATACCAACACTGATCAGTGGTTAAATCCCACTATCGCAGATCAGCAAGGCATCTCGCAAGCAGAAGAGACGACCTCCTCGAACGGAACGCGACAGGAGAATCGTGCTACCTACCCGACGGAAAGCAGGCGACAAGACGCGAATCTCTACGACGGAACGAAGTAGAGGAATCGCAGCCCTTGACTGCCCACGAAAGGTCGACGTCCATCACGTCAAAAACAAACCGCAATTGAAGGAATCGCGAGAAGGCGACCAAGCTACCTACGTCGCCCTCACGCGATTTGTCCTACTCAACAATCCACGGGCGGCCCGTACGCCAACAGAGGAAAACAAGCGAAATCACCAGATTCGCCAGATTGGCAAATCCACCGCAGATCTCGACCGTACGACGAAACAGGCCCAATTGGAGGATATAAAAAGGCACCTCAGGACCACAGAAACAAACTTTCAAGGCAATAGGGTGTTCAGGTAGGAACCAGACCCCGCCGGTAGCTCCAGGCGTATTTCTTGGTCGAATCCGAGGAGGCTACCGGGATCGACGGCGATATCGCCATCATCAAGACCGACTTCGAGATTCCAAGGTCAAGCTTCCCCTTCTCACCTACACCCACCACCCCTCGGCTGTTCCGAAGGAATAAGAGCCAGGCGGAGTTGAGACGAGGAAGGAAGGGATTCAGAAGCATCACAACGCTCACCCCGTAAAGGGGTGTGAGGTACCCAATTCTTCAGACTACACATCCTCGCCGAGCTACGAAGGCAAAGAAAGAGCCTGTTGCCCCAGTTGGCACGGGAGAAAGCCAAGAAGACGTCTGAGGAGAGAACACGAAGAGAGGGCCACCGGAAGACCTCTCTTATACGATAGGGTACGCCACAGGAAGAGAAAACCGTCAACAAGAAACATGGCGGCCAATTCAGAAGACCAAGAGCAGATGGTGACGAGGCTCGCCGCAAGGAGGTTGGAGGCCGCGGGAAGCTCCCAGACCCCGACAAACACGGCGAGCGACGACAGTGCGCTGCTACCACGACCAACAAGCGGATCTGACACATCCCCATCAAGATCAAACACGCCGGCCCCTACAAACAGAAGCACAAGCCAAGGGACGACAGGGGGCGAGTCAGCACGCAGAACGCGCGGAAGGACTCCCATCCCAGAAGATTGGGTTGAGATTAATCCGGAGTACTGGGGGAAATGGTCATATCGAGACTCAGACCACCCCAATGGCGAGCAAATTGATGCGGCGTTAGTCTTCATTATGGAGATGTACGCCCGCAAGGGGCTCGAAGGGCAACCCCTGTTCTACAGAGTCGTAGACGACCTAGGCGACTGGAAAGATGAATGGTTCGCCAGCGCTAATCCCGGTGTCGTCAAGGAGGTGAACAGATTCCTCCACTGCCGAGGCGTTCTGCCAGCCCAAGGGGCAAGGCGAAAGGCCCACGAGACACTCGCAGCGACAGTAGCCGCAGAGGACTTCACGCCATGGGACCAGAATCAGATCGACAGAGCAGTGTCAAAGTACGAAGAATTCAGCAGACGAGTGAACCAACCGGACTTTCTGCTGAAGATCACCAACGGTAACATCGCGGCGCCCAATCTAGCGCAGACAAGGGGGATCACACCGGAGGCGCGTCAGACGACGATTCCGCCCATCGCGGTGACGACCCCAACGACAATACCAATCCGAGGATTGATCCCAAGCACCCAACAAAGTACGAGGTCGACAATGCAGACACCACCCAATTACGCTGCCGCACGAGAAGCACGCGAAGAGAACGATCCAGCGGTAGCCAGCACAAGACAGTTCACTGACCTAAAGAAGATCTTTCCAAAAGAGAAATTGTACTCAGGGGGGAGATATGAGGTCCTGCAAGAAACCCTCACGATGTTCTACGACTACTGCGAAAAAGTCGGCATCCGAGAACACCAATATCATTCGGTAGTCAATGTCATACTGACAGGGAAAGCTGCCGAGTACTACTATCAAGCGGTGCGTAATATCGATCGAACCGACTTTCTCAGCATCGTTGACACAATCCGAAGTCGATTCGAGACCCAAGATAGGAGCCTCGAGCTCCTCTCGGAGCTGAGGGCATTGTCATTTAGCTCTGTAGCCAGAACAATGGAAGGAAAGTCGAGAATTGAGATCCTCGAGGAGCTCATCGACAGGATCGACAAACTGGCGAGGACGCAGCCAAATGAGGGGACCAATGAGCGAAAGGTCGGTTATCTATGTACGGCGGTACAGAGGGTACCAGAGGCAAAGATGACTCTACATCAACCGCCTGAGGACTACGAGACGCTGTGCTCGAGGCTGAGGTCCAGCTTCAACATCGAAGCCAGGATGCCAAATCAGACTCACCTCCAATCTCACGAAGGCCCTCACCAACAGCACTGGGTGGACCGCACGTACAATGGCAAAGGAAGAGAGGCAAGGTATGGCAACCGCCAGGGGGGAGGAACAGACTCCTCAGGGGGGCGCTGGTCCAACACCAACCGAGCACCGCGGAAAGGGAAGTGCTTTATATGCAAAAAGGAGGGTTGTTGGTCAAGCAACCACTCTGATGAGGAACGCGCCAAGTCGTACGACCAATACAGAAAGGCAAAGGGCACACAAGGCAAGACGGGCCATGATCGATTCAACCAATTCCTGGTGGTCTACGAGGACCATCCAACGAACGCAATCGAGTCGTCTGAGAGCGAGGAAGATCTTACCCCGTACACTCAAGACCTCGACTTCGACGAAGTTAACGATGTCACCCATTCTTTCTTCGCCCCGTCAACCTCAGGAGGATATACAATGCTGAACGAACAGAGAGCGGTACAAGCCCTAAATGAGCAGGCTTTCCTCCATGGTTGGCAAGGGAAGGTCCCTCAGCCAACGACAACGCTCAGCAGCACGGGGGACACGAATGCTAATACCGCAGCCATGGCTCGCACTAAGGTCAAAGGGCCTGGGGAGGAAAAGAGAACGATGGGCTTACAAGCACGCAATTTATACCCACCAGGAGGGTTCTACGGTAATCCAGTGCAAGCATTCCATGCCAGCGAAAGGTATGGCTCGGAAACCTTCCACGGGATTATTCCAGATACCGGGGCATCACAATGGTCGACGGGGGGCAAGGGACAATTCCACGCACTCCAAAAGATCTCACCAGTGACCCTCAACACTACAAACGCGGGCATTGCGAGGATCAGTTTCGGCCCAGGGGAAGAGATAAGTGCCTTAGGTACTGTGGATGTAAATACACGATTCGGAACGATGATTTTCCACATTCTACCCGTCAATACACCATTCCTCCTATGCCTGAACGACATGGATAAATTGGGCATTGTGTTTGACAACACAAGGAATAGAATGTCCAATGGAAAGCACTCTGAGCTCGTCGATCGACGATGGGGGCACGCGTTTATGAAGCTTGAACCAGACGTCAAGTCCATCAATTACTTGACGGAAAGTGAACTCAAGCGACTACATCGACGATTCGGCCATCCGTCGGCGACGAGACTATACAATCTCCTCAAACATTCAGGGAACGATGTGGAAATAGGGGCTCTAGAGCAATTGACGATGGTGTGCCACCAGTGCCAAATGAACGCCCAGAGCCCGCGCAGATTCAAGTTCAAATTACACGACGACCTCAACTTCAATTGGGAAATCGTCGTTGATATCTTCTATTTGAACAGTCGACCAGTACTCCATATAATCGATGAAGCCACATCATTCCAAGGAGGCCAATTCCTTCGAGATATACAAGCCAAGACCGTGTGGGCAACGCTGAAGCGCTGTTGGATCGATACATACCAAGGTCCACCAGACGGCATCAGAACCGATGCCGGCACCAGCTTCAAGTCGGCGGAATTCAGGGAGAATGCCACTTCGTACGGCATCCAACTGAAAGTCGTCCCTGTCGAAGCGCACCACAGTATTGGCAAGGTAGAAAGATCACACCAGCAGTTGAAAAGAGCTTTCAAGATCATCCAGGAAGAGAGCCCTAGTTCAACGGACGAAGAGTGCCTCCAGACGGCACTCAAGTGCTGCAATGATACCATGGGACCCAAGGGGCTCGTTCCGACGCTGCTTGTGTTCGGAGCATACCCACGAACGACGACGGCCTCACCGCCGTCACCAGATGTGACCCAGAGGGCGCGAGCAATCGAGAAAGCAATGAAGACTCTCCGCGAGGCAAATGCTAGAAGGCAAGTCAACGAAGCCATTGCTACGCGCAATGGGCCCGACGTGAGCCTCAACCTCGACATGCCCCTGAATTCGGAGGTACGGGTATGGAGGGAAACCACAAAGCAATGGACAGGCCCATACAAGTTAGTCTCAATTGACGAACGATCTTGTGTCGTCGCGAGAGATCGAGACCAACCACTGGAGGTGTCGATCACTGCGGTACGACCGTACCACGTCGACCCCAGCGGAGTGATTTCCAACCCACAAGAAGAAGAAGAGCCAGGGGAACCACCTCAACAAAGCGATGAGGGACAACCAAGCGATGAGGGGCAGGAAACCATCCTCGACGAGATCATCGTCGCAGCACCCTCAGACGATGAGGCAGAAGAAGAACCAGTACCCCCACCGCAAGCAAGACGCCGAGGAAGACCCCGAAAAGCACCTCAACGGCAATTCATGTCTGACACCAAGGCTACTGCTGTCTTCTACACGGCCAAGGAGAAAGCAGACTTCGCGATGGCGGTCAAGCTAAGGGAACAAGGGATAATCACAACTGCAGGACGACCGTACGAAGGCTCCGACCTCATCGAAGCCGACACACTGCGCGATCGAGGGGTCTACAGATTCATCACCTACGACCCAGAGAAGCACGCGAACCTCCGCATCTTCAAGTCGCGAATGGTCCGCGAGATCAAAGGAAAGGGGACAAATCAGCCGTACGAGAAATCAAGGCATGTGATACAAGGCTACGGCGACGTCGAGAAGGCGGCACTGCTCACGCAGTCGCCGACAGTTCAGCGCTGCAGCCAACGACTAATGATGGCATTGATGGCATCACTACGGCAAAGAGGATACCGGATCTGGAGTCGTGATATCACCCAGGCATACACCCAATCGGCGACAAGGCTCACGAGGAAGATATTGGCTTACCTACCAAGGGAGATGGCAAGCAAATACCCGGACGACACGATTATCGAAGTGCTGAAGCCACTCTACGGCCTCGCAGAGTCAGGCACTCACTGGTGGGCAACATACCACGATTTCCACATCGACAAGCTCTCGATGATTACATCGACGTACGATCCTTGCCTCCTAGTTTCCGCGCATGCAGACGATCCATTTGGAATCGTCGGAATGCAGACCGACGACACATTAGGGCTTTCTGATGCGGCCTTCATGGAGAAGGAGGACAAGGAGCTGGAGAAGGCAAAGTTTACCGCCAAGCCAAAAGAGATCCTCACAGAGGACACACCACTTGCGTTCAACGGCGGGATCCTCACGATCGAGGGCGAGAATGTCGTCTTCCGACAGAAGGGGCAAGGCGAGAAGATCACCCTCATCGACCCAAGGGCAACCGACTGCCAGAAGCGGTACAAAGCAGAGCTCGCACGAGGAGCTTACATCGCAAGCATCTGTCAGCCAGAGGCCACTTTCGACTGCGCGAGGGCAGCGCAGGCCACTTCGCCGACGGAACGCGACTTCGACGCCCTCAACCGACGGCTACAGTGGCAGCAAGTGAACCTCGATAGGGGGCTCGTGTACCAACCCATCGACCTGAGGGAGGCGAAGCTCTACGTGTTCGTCGACGGCTCATTCGCGAATAATGACGACCTCACATCGCAATTGGGATATGTGATAATCCTTGCCAACGAGGCAATGGGAGAGGAGAACTTCACGATCCGCGGTAATGTCATCCACTACTCGTCGACGAAGAGCAAAAGGGTCACACGAAGTGTACTCGCCTCAGAGGTCTACGGCATGGTTAACGGCGTCGACATCGCACACGCGATCTCAACGACGCTGAAGAGGATTACCGATCGACTTGACATCCCCACGATACCGACAATCGTCTGTACCGATTCGTACTCGCTGTATGAGTGCCTCGTCAAACTGGGCACCACGAAGGAGAAGAGGCTGATGATAGACATCATGGCCCTCCGGCAATCGTATGAGCGCCGCGAGATCCTCGAGATCCGTTGGATCAACGGGGACGATAATCTGGCGGATGCTTTCACGAAGGCAACGCCCAACAAGGGGCTCGAGCACTTCGTCGGCGAAGGAAGGGCGACGATACGGATGGAGGGATGGGTAACCCGCAAGGAGCAGAAGAAGGAGGAAAAGGGGGCAGCCTCGGCGAAGGAGCCCGAGATCGAATTACACTTCCAACCGCCGTAGTTGGGCGATGAAAGAGAGAGATAGTCAGTGTCGGATTGGAAGTCCAATTCGACCTCGAGGCAAGGGGCCCGCGCAGGGGCCACTTACAGACCATACTTACGAGATCTACGGTCTACCCAACCTCCGGTTAGAACCTCCTTTTTACACCTTACGCAGAAGTTAAATATATATAGATTTTGACCTCTTCGTCACCCACGGTTCGAACCATCCCTGTGATAGGAATACCAACATTACCCAATCCGGTAATGTTCTCAAACGAGCGCGCCAAGAAGTTTCCAGCGCATCGCTTTGCGAAGAAATACACGACCCCTACCACTAACAGATCTTGGCTGAAGAAACATGTCATCTAATGGATTCAACGGGTTGGTTTACCAAACCCGTCACTGAGCATATTTTGAAGGAACAGTTTGCCAATCAGATCGTCGCACAGCATCATGGTCCTACCCCAGCTCACTGATGACGGGACGGTGGGCGCGCATTTGGGGCAACTACCCACACCCGTCTGCGGTTGCCGTTCCCGGAAACATTTAGATGAAGTGTTGTGGATGATTTCTCCGGAAGGTAAGGTAAATGACCCCTCTTCCCAGTGCTACGGAAAGGCATGAACCCTCCCTCTGGAAAACGAGGACCTTCCAATACGTGTCGTGATATAAGTTTGCTCTTCCCCAGTGAAACCTGACGGTCATTGTGTAGCTTGAAGAGGAATATTGTTACTTCCATACGTCGCTGTTGACTCGGCGGGTACATTTAATCACATTCCTTCGCCAGAATGCTTTTCTCCCACGTTCCTCAACGGTCCTCCTTCTCCCTGATTGGACTCCTGCTAGTCTATCTCGTTACGATGGCCGCAGCACAAAATGATTTTCAAACCTCTACCAAGGTTCGGGAGTGTAAGTGGTCTCCTTTGCACTACGTTCCGGATTCTGAATCCTCAGTGTACTACTACGCATGCCCTTCGTACTGACAAAAGTCGCAAAAGGCATTCCTCGCCCTTCTACAACAAGCACAACATCATCATCTCCTACATCCACGTCAAAAGCCCTACCGAGAAATTTTGGCATGATCGTCAACCGAGCCTTTGAGATGCTCGACGTCTTTGGACCTATCGATGCCCTAGGATTACTGGCCAAGAACCACCAAATGAATCTGTATCTCATCTCCGAGACAATGGATCCCGTCACCGTCGAGCCCGTCTCCGCTGCCATGAATGCCAAAAACTCGAGTTTCGTAAGTGATAATCTGCCTATTCATTCCCGCACCCGACCCCTTTTCCGACAGAGCAACAGATTCCGCGCGGCTTGTATACCGAAATTGCTCAATGCTGACGTGAACACTTACGCTTAACGTACAGTTCCCCAAAATCCTCCCAACACACACATACGCAACAGCACCAAAGGATATCGAAGTCCTCATGGTCCCAGGCGGCCTATGGACGCGCTCACCCAACCTCAATGCCACAATCTCCTACATTAAGACGACCTACCCGAACTTGCGCTATCTCATCTCCATCTGCACCGGCGCCTCCGTCGTAGCCCGCGCCGGCGTTCTTGATGGCCGCCGCGCGACGACGAACAAGGCTTCGTGGGCGAGCACCGTCGTCCACGGGCCCCGGACCGAGTGGGTGGCTAAGGCGCGGTGGGTAGTCGACGGCAACGTGTGGAGTTCGTCGGGAGTGTCTGCGGGCATCGACGCGACGCTGGCTTTTATTGACGAGGTGTACGGTGCTGAGGAGGCGACGTCTATTGCGGATTTGATGGAGTATGAGAGGCATACGGATGCGAGTTGGGATCCTTTTTCTGAAAAGTTTAATGTCACAGATTCTGCATGAGGTGAATTGGGAATTGGTTTGTATGCATTCATGAGGTGCCAAATTCCAAATTCCAAATGAATGGCACGCAAAGAATGATGCTCGGGAGGGTTCAAGGAAATCGTAAAGAAAACCATGAGTAGACTCTAGCAATGGGATTCAAATGTAATTACCCTAAACTTCCAATGTGGACGTGGAGTCCAGCTAATCATTAAGAAGACGTAGAAACGGCTAAGGGCTGAACCGTGAACGTAGAAAAAGAACATTTCTTGACTGCAAGACTCTTTGCAAAACACTTAGTCTCCTTTCCTCCATACTTGGTTGGCGTGGTGCAGTTGATACATCTTATAACTAAATTTTCTACAAAAGTAAGCTTTGTTAGTCTCGCACTCTACATATCCGTGGGTAAGCATGTAAAGTGTGACGCAATCTTTTGGTTATGAACATAGCGCTAGTTAATCTGTAACTCAATACTGTCAACATCTAGGACTCTAGACTCTAACTCCAGAGTCTCAGAACCTCTTCAATCTCGGAGTTAGTAAGCAACTTTGTTTCTCAACGTTTTCTAGTCTTGAACAAATTCTCAGTGAATATTGAGTTTACTTATTGATAAGAATTTCGCAAACATCTTAATACAGGCTCATCTGATTTTGGTTGCCATGCCTAGATTGCTCCAGCTCAAAGACATTTGTCGATTTCCCACTGAGGTGCAACGAATAGTCTCTCAAAGTGAACTATGTTTAAGAGAGGCTTGAAGTATCAATTTCCTAAACTTCATACATTATTTGCTAACTATAATCTGGTTCTCAACTTGCTATCTGTTTCTCACCCAAACTCAACCTTTACAACCGAACAACAAGAAACCAGCACTAGGATTTTGGCTAGTTTATTGTAACTATGCAGAATGTCTCCAATTAAAAGGTCTACTCCCGAGGATCGTTATGCGTCATGTTCCGGGCATTATGACATGTAGCACAATTATTCAAAAAGTCAACTGATTTTGAGTAAAGTCCTAAAACTGATTCTCGAAAACGACACCTTCAACCAACCATGCCACTCGGAATTCAGCCTGTTTCGTCTACCATAAGCTCCACCCGCGCCAAATCCTCACGTGTGCAGCTCTACATGCAAGCATTCCTAGATCATCCCGTCACCAAACATTAAAGTAAACAAACAACAACTGCCGAACGGCCAAGTTCATTTGTGTAACCTGAAGAACACCACGTGCCAGACGCCTTATCTCTCTCCATGTCTGACCCTCAAACAGCTCGCCACATGATGTTCAAACATTCGTCCATTACTACATAATTCCATACTCTCAAGTCTTAGAAAAAGGCTCCACATCCTGCTGTTACATTACCATGGTACGAGTAGCATTGCACAGAACCCACCAGCAGGATCTGGAACCACCGCCGAGAAGGACCGTCAGGCGACCCAACAGCAGCAGCAACGACAGCAAAAACAGCTGTAGGAACAGTAATCTGCAACCACAGCAAATCCCAGCTCCTGCACGATGTGAAGCAAGCTAGTCTCAGTTGTATTGCTATTTGCGTTCCGCTCACCCCATTCTCACGTTCCACAAACGCTGTGTGTCTCTCTGGCCTCTTCTCAATCTCAATCTCACCTGAGCTTTGAACGGTACGGAGTACATCATGTATGTTCCGACAAATGTAGAAAACGTTATGAACCGTCTTCCCGTGCAGTCGCGTCCATGTAGGTCGTCGGTACGGTATACTCCGCAGAGACGACGGTAGCAAATCTCGGAGTCTTGCACCATTGGGAATCAGAGACATCTCTAAGGAATCAAGAAAAAAAGAGGGTGTTCGTCCATTTCGAGCAAAAGTTACGAAAAGTGTCTGCCATGTGTGTGGGGGTCCTACAGCTACGTGCGTATCTCCAGGAGGGCGTGAGTTCCTTGATTTCTTCGAGAACGTATGGAGCCTGTGTGTTTTTGATATTCTTCCCTGTCCGGTCCCCTTGGTAATTAATTGGCATCCGTACGGAGAGAGATAGACGGTGGAGAGCGGATTTGAACCATTAGGATCGAGCGCGCGGCACGCACGCGGGATGCAACTGTCCCCATTTGCTTTTTCCTGCAGCCCGGTGGGAAGCCGAAGACGTGCAGCGCAGAGCACAAATGGACGTGCGCAGCAGATTATTCCCCCAAAAGAGAGAGAGAGAGAGGAAGAGAGTAGGTAAGGGCTGCCGGGCTGCATCATCACAGCTGCAAATGCACACCATCGGATCACCATGACGGACCCCTTCTTTCTTCACCGCCTCTGTCTCAAGTGCGCGCACGCCGGGGGAAGGTCCCGGAGGAGTGAGGGGCCGGCAATCTTGGGCCCCTCGCGGCAAGCAAGCGAGCTGGGCTTGTGGCTGGCTGCTCAACAAATGCTTTCTTGGTGAAAGCCTCATTTTCAAGTGCATTGTGGCACATTTCCGTTGCCCGTTACTGTGCAGCAGCGTCGATGTACAGATATGGAACCCGTTGATCCAGTCCAATCCTCCATCTCGGCCGCAAAGCTAGTGGGCAATGGGACGTGAACCCTTGACCGCCCCTGGCCTTCGACAGTCGCCCTGCGTGGCGCAAAGAGACTTGTTAATCTTGCCAGCGTTGCGCTATCCGTCTTTCGTGATAGTTCAGGGTGGCGCGCGGCAGGGCATGCGACTTTGACAGGCTTCCCGGAGGTCCATCCCGCTAGGCATTCCATCATCGACGTTGCATACCGTTATTTACTAGGAGAAATTAGATGATGGCGAAAGCAGCTCGGGGCGACCGGGGGAGCCAAGCCAAGGTGCAAGGGGAACACGAGGGGTGAAGAGCTGCCGCCACGATGCGACCACAAGACATGCGGCAAGCAAGGTGGTGGCAGTTGCAGGGCGGCGGGGGTCAGGGATGAACATCTCCCGGGACGTTTCATTGCTTCGACGGCGCGCATGGCGAAAGGATACATGTAGGGTTGTGGTGTATTTGTAGTAGTGTAGTGAGACCAACGGCGGAAGCACGAGTTGCATCTCCCCGCTGGCCGGGGCCGGGGGGAAGAGAGGCGCCGGGTCAACGGCTACGGCCGCAGACTAGTCGAGACGATGCGTTGCGATGCGGCTGCACGAAGCGAGAGAGGGGAGGGCGTCTGAGTTTCAACGTCGTTCTATCGGTGCCGGGCCCTAGGCGGGGAGGCAGCAGGCTTGGGAAGATGCATACTGCTATTTCCAGGGACCCAGAGATACGGCCGCAACACTTGCAGGGCCCCTCATGTTGAAAGGAGGAGTCATTGGCCCGCGAGAAAGGGCACCCACGCCCCCCTCGCCGTTTAACCTCCATGAAGCGTCGAGACGAAGAGGATGTTGTCACCGTTTTGGACTTCGTACGCCTCCTCTCCTTCAAGTTCCCAGTCTGCGTCATTGATGAGGGCAAGGATGCCAGGGCGACTACATAGACCACGTTAGCGTTGCATTCGATATAGCTACTCTGCACGTTCATAGCAGATTTTGGGAAAAGCTCCAGAGTGGCGATATACGGCGTGCATAGGACAGGCAACGTCGGGGTGAGAATAGGAGAAACACAGAGCAAGGCGAGGCCGAAATGAAGATATGTCCAAGAATGGAGACGGCGCGTGGGTGATGCGACTCTAAGACGTACAGATGACCATCGAGGACGAAAAGCTCCTTCCTGGAGTCCTTCATCGTGTTCTCGCAGAGATGGTTGATGAGAAAGGCAATGTTTGCGGGCTTGCCTTCCTTGTTCACCGCCGGGAGAGAGAGAGCGTGACGCCGCTGATCAGAGAACAGCATCTCCAGGCCGCCGCTGCCCACCAGATACCATGTCAGTTATGCATTCGTACCTGAACGATATATGCAAGATGCAAATGAAATCGTCCTCGGGTCGACCCCATCAGCCTGCGTGGAAGGGTTTCAGGCCAGAGTCTGGGAGACGGGACCGGTCCAGAAGAAACACGTTGCTTGAGCCACAGGATGGAATAAAAGAGAGACGAGAGATGAGAGTAGAGAGATGAGCGGAGAATGGAGACTCACGAGAACTCGACAACGACGGCGATCTTCTCCCCCGCATCTGCAGCTTCTGCGGCCATTTCTTTTCTTTTGTGAGGCTTGGTAATATAAATCTCTCACGATATCCAAAGTACCGGCAGCTGCGAGACGTCGGAGAATAGATGAAGAATGTGAGATGTAATGGTAATAAAGTTTGTTTGCTTGTCAGATTGAGACGCGGCACGGCACGGACAAGTGTGAGAAAGATGCGATGGAAGGAGGGATGGATGGGTGGATGGCAGGTTAGGCGTCTGTAAGGCGCGGGTGGTGGTACCTTACCTTAGGTACACGGCTGTCACTACCTTAAGGACCTGGAGTGTTTGGGGGGACGGAAGGCCCTGAGCACACGGGCATCACTGGATCAGGCAGTCGGGCCAGGCGCTCCGGTGGCAAGCCCAAGCCTCTGCCGAATGCCTGTGGAGCAAACCTGGAACGGTGCGGCGCTCAAGCGCTGTAAGGCGGGCAGACAGGCCCCCCGGAGGGATGCCCCCGCCCCCACTAAGAAATTTTCAACTTCACCTCTTGATTGTAACCCATGAGCCAATCACATCGCCGCATTTTGTCAACCCTTAGAGTCATTCCTCAACGCAGCATCTCAGGGCGACGACGAGAGAGACAATATGGCTGGCACACAGCCTTCAATAGAGTACCTGTCAACAGGAGCCAACAGGCAGACCGCCGTCGCTGACTGGAGCCCATGTGGTCTTCTCGCCTTTGGCGCTGACTGCAACATTGCCTTGTGGGCGCCAACTGTAAGCCCTTTCCCCCGGCCCGCTGCTTGATGTCCCTACGCTGACGATGGACAAATCAGTCACAAAATGCAGAGGGAATCACAACTCTTCTAAGTGGTCACAAGGAGGTTGTAAAAGCAGTCAAGTTTTTGCCCCAAGTGGATGGCGAAGACCGCAAGCTCCTCGTCAGTGGCTCAGATGACCAAACACTCAAGGTCTGGGCAGTGGACCCAAAGACGAACCAAGGGGAGTGTATTCAGACGGTCCACGATCACTCGGCACCCGTGAACTGTATCGCCATTCTGCGGTCCAAGGGGGCCCATAAACAGGTTCTTCTAGCTTCAGGGGCTGCCGATGCAACCATCAAGATCTGGAAGCTTGACGACGGTCAGCTGCAGCTGCACCAAACTATCAAAACCGCTCCCAAGTACTTTCCCCTGTGCTTGGCTCTTACAGCGCTCGACGAAGCCGAAGACGTCTTCGTCCTAGCCGCAGCGGGAACAAAAACGTTTGTACAGATATTTGTCGCCGCTGCGGGCGAGACAGTCGACTTCAAGCTCCAGGCTACTTTGGCAGGCCACGAAGGCTGGCTACGGTCCCTGGAGTTCACATGGGAGAAGGAAGAGGTGAACAGTGACCTGCTCCTCGCTTCGGCAAGTCAAGACAAGTACGTCAGACTCTGGCGTTTGCACCTGGGCCAGGAGCTACCATCACTCGCCGCAGAAGGTTCAGATCCTCTAAGTGGTGCCTATCTGCCGGGCAAGTCTCCCTCAAATAAGGCCCACCGGCTTCAGTCCGGCGGCAAGGATTTCTCCATTACCTTCGAGGCCCTTCTCCTCGGCCACGAGGACTGGATCTACAGCGCAAAGTGGTTCACAAGCCGCGAAGGCAAGCTCCAGCTGCTTTCTACATCCGCAGATAACTCTCTCGCCATGTGGGAGGCTGACAGCACCTCGGGAATATGGGTCAGCATGGTCAGGCTAGGCGAGATCAGCAGAGAGAAGGGCGCGACGACGGCGACGGGCAGCATCGGTGGCTTCTGGACGGGTCTTTGGGCACCCGACGGCAAGTCCGTTGTCTGCCTCGGCCGAACGGGCAGCTGGCGTCGCTGGGTTTACGACATAGAGCGCGACCAGTGGAAGAACGCCATCGCCGTCAGTGGCCACACCAGGACCGTCACGGGCATCGCATGGTCCCGCGACGGCGACTACCTCATGTCCACTAGCTCGGATCAGACAACACGCCTCCACGCTCGTTGGAAGCGCGGTGATGCCGTCGCCGGTGTCCATTCGTGGCACGAGATGTCCCGTCCTCAGATCCACGGCTACGACCTCAACTGTATTGACACCCTCGGCGCATCCCAGTTCGTCTCAGGGGCAGATGAGAAGCTCATGCGCGTCTTCAGCGAGCCGCGCGCCGTTGCCAAAATGCTCCAGACCCTCGGCGGGATCGAGAGCGGCGCGCCCGCAGAGTCCATGCCAGACGGCGCCAATATGCCCGTGCTAGGCCTCTCCAATAAGGCTATCGACGCCATCGACGACGACCAGGAAGTCCAAGTCGATGACCAGTACGACCGCGAGGCCGTCGACCCGGCCACCGTCGTCCGCAAGTCTATGCTCGACATTGACCACCCGCCCTTTGAAGAATCCCTCTCGCGCCACACCCTTTGGCCCGAGACAGAGAAACTCTACGGCCACGGCTACGAAATCTCCTGCCTGGCCACCAGCCACGACGGTAAGCTCGTCGCCAGCGCCTGCAAGGCGAGCTCTCTCAACCATGCTGTCATCCGCGTTTTCGAGACAGAGCGCTGGACCGAGGTCAGGCCACCGCTGGCGGCGCATACCCTAACCGCCACGAGGCTGCGGTTCTCCCCCGACGACCGCTTCCTCTTGAGCGTGGGCAGAGACCGACAGTGGGCCGTCTTCGGGCGCGGGAGTGACGGGCAGCAGTACTCGCTCCTCCAGGCGAATCCTAAGGGCCACACGCGCATGATCCTTGACGCAGCGTGGGCGCCTCCGTCGACGGATGACGGTAGCAGCAGTAGCAGGGTCTTTGTGACGGCAGGACGTGACAAGAACGCCAAGGTATGGGTCGGCAAGGAGGGCGCAAGGGATGAGCAAGGCGTCAGCAAGATCGACTTCACTCTGGCTTCGAGCATTGCCTTTGACGGGCCCGTCACGGCAGTCGACTTCCTCGGCAGACGGGGTGCCGGTGGCGAGCTCGTCCTCGCCGTCGGTACCGAGTCTGGCACAATCTCTCTTTGCACGCTAGCCCCTGAGACGTTCCAGCCGGCCGGCACACTCCAGCTTGCGTCGAGGTAAGTTGCCCCTCTTGATTCTCCTTGATATACTTTGATCATGACAGCTGACCTCCCTCCCTGAAGCCTCTGCCTCCCGAAACCTGTCTCGCAACTGGCTTGGCGACCGTCAAAGAGCGAGAGCAACACAGACGAATTAGGTATCGCCGGCGAAGATAGTTCCTTGCGGGTATACAGCTTCACAGGACTAGGCGCACCGTTCAAGTCGGACGAATGAATCAAATGAATTCACGTTTTGAAGCACGCGTTCCTCCTCCCATAGACATCCGGAGGCTTTGAGATCTGGGACCATGTATGAATGGGTTCTGAATTAAGAACACACGCGTCGCCGCGTGTGATATTGAGTTTCCAGTATGTATATGTTATATGCCTTTTTTCGTATCCGAACCTGAACTGAATGAACTTGGTTCATATTAAAGCAACCTACCAAAGAAAACGCCCGCACCAGAAGCGGAAAAAACACACGTTTGCGCGCAACATGCGACACGCCCTTCGAGCTCTTCATCGGGCGGTCCGCTCATGTTCGCCATTAACATCCTCCCACACCTGCTCGTCATCTCCCTCTCCCTTTCCAGTTCGTTCATTCGGCATGCATCGTTGTCATATAGCAGAAGTGCGTGCGTGCGTGCGTGCGTGGGCAAGAATACAGCAGAAAAGCCATACACAGAGGGGTTCTCTGCGCCCTTCTTCTACAACTCCTTGACGAGCTCGACCGTCTGCTGAGCCAGCGCGGCCGCAGTGGTGCCCGTCTTCTCGGCCATCAGCACGCTCTCGACGGCGGCCTTTGTAAACTCGACAGCGTCCACCACAGTGTCGACGACGGCGTCGATCGGATCGCCGTGCATGTAGAACCAGGCGCGGCTCATGAGGAAGGCGATGTGCTGGGGCAGGTAGAGGACGGTGGCGATGATGGTCAAGCTGCTGAGGAGGAAGAGGACGGTGTCTGAGAGAGGAGGATTAGCTGGGGGAATTCTCGTGCGATCTTTGGATATGGTGCATCTTAATAACTAGAGGGAGGAAAAGGAGTATGGACGGCAGTTTGTTGCGGATGTATACGGAGAGGAGGGCGCAGAAGGCCAACGGTAGACAACGTACAAAAGATGAACTTTTCCAGGGGCGTAAAGATGTATACGCTGAAGGTGACCTCAATCTGGTACTGCTTCAGGTGCAGCCACTTGCTGAAGGACTGGAGCGCCGACATCTTTTGATTTCTTTGTATGTTCTCGGAGGAGTGTGTCTGGTTTTAGGGGGAGGAAGGGCTTCGACCGCTCGGTTCTCGCGGTTCTCGACGGAGGTTGAAAGTTCGCGGTGGCGGCGACCACGGGGAGAAAAAAGGAGGTGGACGAGGGTTTCTTCTCGAACGAACGTGTCGCGGTTGAAAAGTAAAGTCTACTTTGCCAATTCGTTCACAAACTGTCGTGTTGACGTTCCGTCGTACGAAAACACCGAGCAACTTCAGTGGGAATCGTCTTTGCGGCGAGGATGGAAGTTTGAAGGAAGTAAGCGGGTTGAGAAAAGGCGAACTCTAAGGTATCGTCCGAGGACGGGGTTTGCGCGGGACGGGGGAGGGAATCTTATCAGTGAAATTGGTGGCCCGCCCACGCGACAAAACAACCACCAGAGTGACTGACTTACTGAGCAAAAGGCGCCACCGCCAAAAAGCTGTACCCGACAGATCCGCAGGGGAGAAGCACTGACAGGGAAAGGAGAGAAGAGAGGTTCCACACTGCCAGCAAAGTAAAAGTGGAGAGTCAATTTACAGGTCGCCAGTCAGTAAAGACTGAGTGACCTCAACCTCTCATTGGTCGCCTCACCTCCCAAAAAACCTCCGAATTAGCAGTTCAGCACAAGTCCGTTCTCAACACCTCTTCGTCATGCACCTCCCGTCCGGGCCCCAGCCGTCCGCCGGCTGCTGGCACTCCACATCTGATGCGGCCCATACTGAACGACACGGCCCACCACGCGCGCCGTGAAGTACGAACCTCACCAGCAAGCCTCACCTCACCTCACCTCACCAAGCACCAAGCACCAACGCCGCCCATCTCCAACAATCCGCAAACCCACGGACAATGGCCCGGTGCGCGCGATGCCTCCTCCTCTACCCCTTCTAACCCGTCTTCCCCTCCTGGCGGGCGCATCCAACGCCAATGCCTTCATGCGCCGAGGCCCTACGCCTACAGCGGCGAGGCCGGCATCGCTACTACTGCTACCGCTGCCACTGCCCCTCGTCGCCCTCTTCAGCACATCCCCCTCCGCATCGCTAAAGGGGCACCAGATGCCACCTCGGCCCAAACCCCCTCCAGACTCCGATATTGAGGAATCCTACCTCAAAGGCAGCGGGCCGGGTGGTCAGAAGATTGTACGTTGCTGTGAAGTTCAACCCACTGACACCGTACCCGGTGCTTATCCTTTTCTGCCGTCCAATGCAATGCAATGCGGCGGCACTCGAACTTGATACAAAGACCGCATGACTGACTGGTAGCTTTCCCGTCCATGTTCTTCCTTGCTGACCACACCACCTTTCCAACAGAACAAGACGAGCTCGGCCGTGCAGCTCAAACACATACCCACTGGCATTGTGGTCAAGTCCCAAGCAACCCGATCCCGGTCCCAGAACCGCAAGATTGCCCGCGAAATCTTGGCCGAAAAGATTGACAACTTGCAGAATGGCGACCAGAGCCGTGCCGCCATTGTCGGCGATGTAAAGCGCAAGAAAGCCGCCAGTGCGTCCAAGAAGAGCAAGAGAAAATACCGTCAGCTTGAGGAAGAAAAAGAAAATAATGGGGCGAGCGAAGCTGGAGCTGGTGAAGAAGCCGTTCAAGACGAGACGAACGGCGATCCAAGCTCTGAGGACGTAAAGACCTCTTCTACAGCTGATCCTAGTTCCACTGTACAAAGTAAAAATCCGTAGTATTAAACGTCACTTGATCGCAAAAGGGCCACACTGTATCAATAGATCGGTCCAGTTCTACTCCTGGCTAAAGCATTCTCGTGAAATTATAACATCACTAAAAAAGCGAGTGTGCGAAACTCGGGAACAGTAAGCAAAGTGTATTGTATGATCGACCTCAGTTGCAGACGTATCCGCCCCTATACGCGCCCACGCGCACCCTGCTACAAAACAAGGACCAAATCTTTCTGGAGAAGGGTCGACCCAAACTTCTTGACCATGTCAACAACTTTTCGCCAATATAAGACCTGACTGCGGTATATGCAACGCCATGGAGACCTTGCACCGGTCGTTGCCTCTTTGGAATCGATGTGTTTTCGGAAGGGCGAGAATGTGGTTCGGGAAGTAAGACGCTACATTCTCATCAGTATTTGCCGCACGCTATAGGTTCGCTCCGCCATCAACTTACCTTAGAAGCACTTGCGGTGGACAATGGAGGGACCGCTCTCGTCGTACTCCTGCTTGGAGATCCACATCTGCTGGAAGGTAGACAGAGAAGCCAAGATGGAACCACCGATCCAGACGGAGTACTTGCGCTCGGGGGGAGCGATGATCTTGACCTTCATGGACGAAGGAGCAAGAGAAGTGATCTCCTTCTGCATACGATCGGAAAGACCGGGGTACATGGTGGTACCACCAGACTGTAGAGTTGTTAGTTGCTGGCGCTAAATTATGTGATCGCTGTGGAAAACATACCATGACAATGTTGCCGTACAGGTCCTTACGGACATCGACATCGGACTTCATGATAGAGTTGAAGACGGTGACGTGGATACCGCCAGACTCAAGACCAAGGACGGAAGGAGCGAACAGAGCCTCAGGAGCACGGAAACGCTCGTTGCCGATGGTGATGACCTGACCGTCGGGAAGCTCGTAGGACTTCTCCAAGCTGGAGGACTGGGAAGCGGTCTGGAGCTCCTGCTCGAAGTCGAGGGCGACGTAGCAGAGCTTCTCCTTGATGTCACGAACGATTTCACGCTCGGCAGTGGTGGAGAAGGAGTAACCGCGCTCAGCGAGAATCTTCATGAGGTAGTCGGTCAAGTCACGACCAGCCATGTCGACACGGGCAATGGCCTGGGGAAGAGCGAAACCCTCGTAAATGGGGACAACGTGGGTGACACCGTCACCGGAGTCGAGAACGATACCGGTGGTACGACCGGAGGCGTACAGAGACAGGACGGCCTGGATAGAGACGTAGAACGCTGGGGCGTTGAAGGTCTCGAAGACGATCTGGGTCATCTTCTCTCTGTTGGACTTGGGGTTGATGGGGGCCTCAGTCAAGAGGACGGGGTGCTCCTCGGGGGCGACACGGAGCTCGTTGTAGAAGGTGTGATGCCAAATCTTCTCCATGTCATCCCAGTTGGTGACGACACCGTGCTCGATGGGGTAGCGGAGCGTCAGGATACCACGCTTCGACTGTGCCTCATCACCGACGTAGGAGTCCTTCTGGCCCATACCAATCATGATACTATGCACGTGTTAGGTCGCGGGCGCAGGAAGTGGCATTGCCGCAGCGAGAGATGAACCTACCCATGGTGACGGGGGCGACCGACAATGGAGGCTAAGGGACAGTCAGTATCGACAGTCTCGAGTATGGATGACCGAATCGGTATGCCCCTGACGGAGAGGATTGCGGTCTACGGGTGAGGGGGAACTTACGGAAGACAGCTCTGGGCGCATCGTCACCGGCGAAACCGGCCTTGCACATACCCGAACTGGAATCAAGTCAGAACCATATTCATTGTAGGATGTTTTGTATCGATGGATCATGTGCCAATGGGTTATCAGGAGGGCTGACGATTGGCCAGATCCCTTCGAGGGCCCAGGAGGCGGAATGGTCGGTGAGACGGCGGGGAAGCTTACCCATTGTCGATAACGAGGGCGGCAACCTCCTCTGTACAGATATACGTTAGCAAGTGAGGCACAATAAAGACGGATATTGATAGAGTCGAGCATCGCGACTCGGATGAGGCCAGGGGAGGGGAGGCGGCGTCGGAGTCGTGGAGGGAGTGAATTGCTGGCAGAGATGGAGATGGCGTCACGTACCTTCCATTTTGAATTAGGTTGTGGGTGAGGACTGGGAAAATAGAAGAAATGTAGAATCAAACGAAGACAGCTCACTCGATTCCGGAATCGTAGGAGCGAGATGGAACTGGCAGAAGTCCTGAGCGGATGGCAAAGAACTTGGGAGAGGGCGTCGATGGGTGGTGAGGTCGAAAGTGGGAAAGATTACGGGAAGATGAGAGGTAGTCGATTTTGGGTGGAGGAGGGGGGAAGAAGGAGAAGAGTGGGAATGGCAGGCACAGTGTGCGGTGAGCGCTCTTTGCCTCCTCGGCGTTTCGTTGGCTGCTGCGATTTGTCTGGCGGGCCAGGTTTCGATGTCAGAAAGCAGCTGGAGACCTAACCCGACTTGTGGGTGAGCAAATGGACGTGAGGTGGTGAGGTGGATGGGTGGTGGGCTGGGCAAGAGCGTGGAACAGGTGGCAGAAAGTGGCAGCGCCGCCCCGGGGGATTGAGTTGCCGCTTTAACAAAGGAACCGCTCATTTGGGGGGACCTGGAGCAATAGGAGCATTGGGACTTGCCCAGGAGGCACTGTGACTGAGGTGGGAGGCTGCGCGTTCTCTCTCGCCTCTCTCCGTCTCTTTGGGGACAGTGGCCCGTGCTTTTGCTCCTTTGCTGCTCGGGGGGGCTTTGCTTAGGACTGGCAAAGTAGTGTGGTGGGGTACGGGAGGGAACACACTTCTCACTCACTCACTCACCCTTTTTTGTGGTGATACCTACTGGGGTGCGAAGGCAAAGAGGAACCTCTTGATATTGCAGACGAGATGCGCGACCCTCCAAGTATCCGTATCGTCTTCTTTTCTCCGGTCTGGACCGCTGATTCCGGTGGCTGAAGTTGATATGGGTGCTGTACCTTCAATTGGGTTTTGATGCTGGTGGGCAATGCAAATATCCCGTCGGTTTTCGGATAAGTACACTTTTACTGAATTCTCGAAGCAGGTATCGTATCTGAATGAACGTGGAACAAGATTGTTTCTCAGGCTTTTCTCGCTATATTCAATACAGCAAATACGAATACCAACAAGAAGCCCGCCGGGCCCCGTGCCTTATCTATCCCCTTCAACCTTCAGGCAGTGATTATTGCAACAAAGAGCATTCGTCACCCTATCCGTCAGTCGCCATCTGCTCTCTAGGCAGCTTGAAACCGACGGTGAGAGGTGCTCACTTAACCTCGTCCTCCATGGCCTCGACCACGGACCAATCGAGCCAAGCCACGGGCCCAACAGTGCGCCATTCTTCTCCAGACTGTGACGCCTCTAATATCTTCAAGGGCATCCCCACATCCACAACCTGCACGCACGCTACGGTCTGATGAGAATACAAGGTTGACCCAGGCCAAGAGCATGGGATCATGGGAGCCAGCCTGGCCGAGATCATCTCGCGCCGGAGAGCCAGGGAGGACAGCATTGCAGCAACGGCAGCGCGAGGTAGCGGACACAGTACCGCGAATCCATCCCATCTCTTCATGGACTGTGGAACGGGGGGCCGCTCCTCGACGCCCACGTGAGACTCTCAACAAGATTCCCGCCGCCGCCGCCTGGTTCATGCTCGATGCTCGATGGCGGCGGGCGGATTTGCGCCAGCAAACCACATGCCAGCGGTCCAATTGCTCGTCCATTCGTCTCCGAGTCGTACGTCATCTTTTTCCGTAAGCAGCAAAGACACGGGCGAAGGTGCCAAGCAGGCATAGGTAATCTATTTTGGTTCACAGAACTATTATCTGCCTTCTTCCCGTCGTCTGCATAGCATACATAGCACGTCGGGCTCGCGGAAGCAAAGGCGGCGACGAACGGGCACGGAAGCACAGCATACGGGCCAGGCAGTCTAGCAGGTAAGGTACTTCAAGGCACGCCGAAGCCGACACCACTGAACGGGCCTGCCTAGCTACCATCTGCAAGGGCCGTACTCTCCTGGACAGGCTCGAAGGGGTCGCGGCTCTGGTGGTTCAAATTGCGTACCCGCGTATGGACGCCTTTTGCGGGAACGAGAGCCTGGGGTCCTAGGGGGTCGATTGGCATGGGATTCTCGGATGCCATCCTCGCATATCGCATCTCGCATACGTACTCTAAGCTAGAACCTCGTCAACGGGCTCGCTCTCGTCTTCGACATGTGCCTATGCTTGCTGTGTCCTGGAACTGTGTTTCGAGCTTTGTGTGGGCAGGCCCAACAAGAAACAGCGCGGGCGACAGCTACACGCCGTGCTACGTTTCCAGTGTGGCTGAGCTGGAAGCTCCGGGTTGCCGGGCGGCGTCTCCGTTGATCGGGTCCCTTTAGCACAGATCGGATAGGAGAATACGGCGGAAGCTGTAACCTGTCATCTACGGCGGGGACGCTATGCCTGATTGCTGCATCCTGTCAAGCGAGGCATGCAATATGGAAATGAACGACCAGGAAAGTTTTTAGACGAAAGATGCAAGGCTGAGGCCTGGGAATCTCAGCAACGATGGATACAACAGAATTGTGAGTTGCCGGGCCTCGTGTGCTTCAGTGACTTCATTGCTGGATGCTGCTCAGCTCAGCGTCGCAATATCGTAGCTTGGGTGCTTGGGTACCTCAAGGAAGCTCTGTCCATGGCTACCTCAAATTAAAGCGGCAATGAGGGGCAACTCATTCCATGGTGGGGCAGCTGGAACTTTTTTTTGGTTCACGTCTTTTTACCAGCCACCTTACTACAATATCGTGTGCTCGATCAATGCCTCGACAAGTCCAAGACTTTCGGACCCAGAGTCCGGGAGGGTATCCAATATTTGACTGGCAGATGAATTGCCAACTGATGATCCCATCATTGGGCTGTAAGAGATTCGCTGGCCACAAGTCTGTCTGCCCAAGTTTCAAAGACTCGAGCTGCATAAAGGACGCATTGAGCCGGCCTTGATCAGGGCTCCTCACGTGAGATTTACGCTAGTCCGCTTTCGCTCATTGGCAAGCTTCTTGAAGGTTCCAGAAAAGGGTAGCAAATCAGAAGCAGCCAGTCAGAGCGGGAAGTGGCTCTTGGTGATGGAGAACTTTTTGATGTTGATGAGAGTTCAAGTGAGAGTGAGTGACAGACTGGAAGTTGATAGCAAACAAACTCTACACATCAACACAATACACATACCTCAAGATTCTCATTCAATCTCGCAACCAGTCCAAGTGAACCGTCAAAAGGGTTCATTTTTCCAAGAAACTCTTTCAAGCTACCACACCTCAAGAAACTCACCACAAAATAATCCATCATGGGTGACAAGCATCTCAACGAGCTCCTCAAATGGAGCATCGAAAACCAAGAAGCCAGCGAGAACGGCGCCTCAGCACCCGCCGCCGACGCCACAGCCGCAAGAGCGCCCGCCAGCACCCTCAACCCGGAAGCCATCGCCGCCCTCTTCGGCAATGGCCCCAGCGACGCCGAGCTCATGAAGCTCTCCATGGAGGCAATCACCTCTCCGGACCCGGAAATCACCCTCGACAACAAGCTCATCGCCTTTGACAACTTTGAGCAGCTCATCGAGAACCTCGACAACGCGAACAACATCGCCAACCTCGGCCTCTGGACCCCGCTGCTCTCCTGCCTCGAGCACGAGGCCCACGAGCTGCGCCGCATGGCCGCCTGGTGCGTCGGCACCGCCGTCCAGAATAACCTGCCCAGTCAGGAGCGCCTGCTTGCCGTGGGCGGCATTCCGCCCCTCGTCGCGCTCGCGACCAAGGACGGCGAGCAGGAGGCCGTGAGGAGGAAGGCTGTATATGCGCTCAGCTCCGCCGTACGGAACTACCAGCCCGGCGCGGACGTTCTTACCGATGAGCTGCAGAAGAAGGGCCTGCGTAACGGCAAGGTTGATGCTGAGAACATGGACGACATTGATGAGATTATGAACGCGCTCAAGGCCAAGATTACGGCATAGAGAGAAAAGGAGTGCGAGAAAAGGATGGGCTTTGGGGAGGATTTGGTATGGTTAACTTGCATGGACGGCGTTTCGGCGGGTGGTTCGGCATGAGGGTTCTTTTGACGTACGGGGCGACCAAAAGAAACATGGGATTATGGTATTAGACGATTACTACCGCATAAGATGAACCAAGAATTTGATCGCACAATTTTGGCACAAAGTAACACCTCGAGAGTGACCGTATCTGTTGGTACATTCATATACAGGCTTTCTAAATGTGTTGATATCGTACAAAACGGGATACCCCTTCTCAATAACGTCCCCCCTTTTTAATCCTTGAACTTTCCGTAGAAAGGAAGACCAAGAGCCTGCATCAGAAGCCTGGCCTGGCGGTTTGAAGTGGCGCTCGTGTGGATGAAAATATGGCAACCTGGAAGGAGCTATGGAGACTCGTCAGCATCATGGTCACAAGATATAGGCAGACGAAATATCTCACCTTGGCAGGGTACATGTCGTAGTTGATCTGGAGCTCGGGGAACCAGACCAGGTCATCGGGTCTCAGACCGATACCAATACCACCGTTTCCGTCACCAGTGGTTGCGTTGACACCGGGCCAGTCCTTGATCTTGGGCAGGACGAGGTTGATCAGCTTATCAATGAACTCGTACGCCTGGGGACCGTGCATGGTCGTTTTGACACCGGTCTTGTCGCCCTCGCGAATCTTCCACTGAATAACGTTGTTCTTGGTCTTGGTGACCTCGGGGACGTTGCCGCTGATGGATTGGACGACTGAACGAGCGACCTGGAGCTGTCCCGGCAACTTGGCGGCTGAGGGGATGAAGGTGTGCAGCGATACGGCCAAGACTTTGGGGACGGACCGGCAGTCGATGTTCTTCTCCAGTAGGTCGAGCTTGCTACCACCTCTGGGTCCGCGGAGGGGACGGTTCTTGTTGTATGGCGAGGAGTCGTCCCATGCCCTTAGACGCTCCCGTACCGGGGGGTCTGGTGTACCCGGGGGCTTGTGAAGGTAGGTCATCGTGAGGAGGTCGGCGGCGATGGTCGTATCGTACGTCTGGCGCAGCCGAGGGAGGTTAAAGGGTCCAGGAACAAAGTCGCGGGCCGTAGGATCGGTGGAGGGCGGTGATTGAATAGGATGAAGAGGACCTCTGTCGTACTTAGGGGGATGGTACTGGTATCTGCCGCCTCGTCTATTAGCCTTCTGTTTCACGCAGTAGTTGAGTATTTCATTGCGCACCTGTTTCCGGGAAGTTGCTGCGGTCTGTCAGACAAGCGCTTCGCCGTGTTGAAAGCTTGAATGGCAGCATCGTCAGGGCCAGGCGCAGCCAGGGACGAGGTCTCGAGGTCGGGGAACTGAGCCTCTGCGGCACCGGTAGATTCGCATCGCCGGGCGACGAGAGGGGTCAATTGCCACGGCGAGCGTTGCCTGCAGACAAACCGAGTTAATCGGGAGCTTTCCCGTAGAGTGGCCATGGCTATTCGTTCAACTGTGACGCAACCTAACACGTCTGTAAAGGTAAGTCGCGATGCTCGAAATTTCAATCTCGAAATGCTCAAGTCGGCCCGTGCCACCTGTGGCTGGTACGGTTCTAAAAGTGGATCTCAGTGCTCAGCTCCGGGGATTGCTGTGGCTTGACTCTTTTGCGGTTGCAAGCCTGGATCTCCAGGCGACAGACCACGGAGTGACATCCTCGTGTCACTCGGGGGCCGTCGGAGCGAACCTCCATGGAACGTGATCAGAAGCCTCCGGACTTTCGGGCCTTCAAGGTCGGTTCGTCGTCGTTGCACTGTCGTCATCGGGAACCAGGCCGCCGTCAGCGGGACACCCTCCATCGAGCTTCGGACTACCCTACAGTGAGGCACCGACGATCCATTCTACTAGAGCGCGGGTAAATCGTGCACGCAGCTCGATTACGTAGCAGTCATTCGGGCCCTCAGCTGAATGTCAGTCACCAGCTCAATGGGTCAGCAAGCGCGCGTTCGGTTGCAGAAGCTGGAGCTTTGCTTTCCGCTATGCCGGGCTGACAGGGTGGGGAGACACACTTGAGCAGCACTCTCGGACACGATCAGGCAAAGATGGGATGGACAAATGGGCAACGATGGACACTGTGTGCCTCTTGCCCTCTTCGATGTGCGGCGGCGGCGCGCGCTAACATGCAGGTTGCCTGATTGTACCCAAGATGGACGCGAAAGCGAACGTGTACAGGTTACGCGAGCGCTTTCTATCGGATTGGAGGTTAGTTTCAGTGACAGATCAACGTCCAACACACACAAGGCGGGGGGGCTTGGGAGTAGCAGATGGTGCGACAGAGTTCCCATTCATTGTCCAGAGACTTTGATCTTTCTTTGCGGGCGTTGGGCGTTGCTATGGGGTGCGGGAGTGTGTGTAAGCGCATTGCTTCTCGTGCTAAGTTAGAGTTAAGCCTCTAGGGTGGCTCAGTGAAAGACACTCGCATTGTTTTCGTTATTCTAGCTGTTCTTCGTCTGTTCTTGGCGAAGCCTGTTCTGTGTAAAAGAAAATCACGGAGCAGGAGGCTTATGAAACCAGGAGCATGGACCACAGAGCCATGATATCGGATCTACTGCGCACGTAGGTCTGGAAGTAAGGGACGCTCCAGGATGTGTCCCATAGGGTATCATTCGGGTCCTAATAAATCACCTCGAAACAAGAGGCGAGACTTGACCAGAGTCACGTCCACCCTAAAATGTTCTTGTGCAGGCCAGGTCAAGACTTCCACTCAACATTTCCCATTTTGACTAGGGGATCGAATGACCTGCAATTGATGCGATGGGCGACTTGCCACTTTCATCTTGTTAAATGGGCAGCCTAGTCAATTTCGGATGTTCCTCCCACGCCGGACAAGCCCTTACGTATGTCACCTCGCGTGGACATTGGATGTTGGGGCAGGCTACTTTTACTCATATTCGGAGCTTGGTCGGTCATATGTAAGAATTGTGGCAGCCAAGCTCTCAAGAACATTCTGGCTTTTCCCCTGCTATTACACTACCTGCTTCGGTCCCATCTCACCACGTAATACACACCTTCGGCTACCAACCGAAAAAGCCTATACCACAAAAGTCAGCTAGAGGAAGGACAGGTCAGCTCGGGGTCACGGTCATCTTGGATACGTCGTGTCCGTATGTCTGAGGTAACAGTAACAGCAAGCAAGCAAACCTGAAAGTCCGCCTTGCCGCCACCCTCCACCGACCTGGCGCTCCCAGACTCCCGAGTCAACTGACGGCAAGTCCGCAAAGGACGCCGAGTGTCCCCAGCAGGAAGTTGAGGTGGAAATCTCTCAGGGGCCGCAAGTACCATTCCACCCAAGCTTTGCCGCGCCGGTACGAAAAGGCGCCCTTCTATGGTCCGTCCACTTGGTGACTCTCCACACACCAATTCACCGTGGGCACCCTGTCAAAGCTGCTGCTCACATTGGACCCCGAATTTTCTGAGCCAAATCCACGAACCACCACCATCTGACCCTTGTTGGCGCCAGGAGCCAGTCGAAGGTCCTTCGCTACCTTTATTGCTTCAGCAGTCCCCCGTGTGTTCAACCATAGGACTCCGTCTTCTCACTTCTGCTTCTTCTCTTCTTCACGCCGAAGCAGCATATCTCTTTGGCTTCAGAGAATCGAGCTTGGCTACTTGGTGGACAACAAATACTTGATCAACACCCATACCGTACCGTCGCAGGCTACCAAAACAGCGAAATCCTATCACTCTGCTGCTACATCGGAAAGCCCAGAGTCCAGACCTGATCATCCCAGCGGCCCAGCCCCGTCTTTTGCGACTGCGAAAATCTGCCCCGCCGACACGCGCCTGAACCCCTCCATACCTATCCTCGCACTCGGTGCATTCTTCATCTTCACACAGCTTCGCTCCCCACCTCACCCACTCCCGTATTGCTGGCCGATGGGGGTGCGACTTTCAACCTGGCCATGATTCCGGACCGCTGAGACGACTGCTTCTCTCGAGTGGCCAAGCCCCTTTGGCACCAAATCGCGAACCTAGCTACTCCAGCTACTGGCAGCACAGAGGATCTGCAACCATGAAGGGCAAAAAGTTTCTTAGCCTGCGAGACAGGAATGGCACCCATCGTAGGAGCAAATCCTCAGAACCAGGGCAAAAGGTGAGCTTCATATTCCAGGAACTGGAGATGGTCCTTTTCAGAGCCCGTTTCCATGGGGACAGCCACACTAATCCCACTCTCCAAACCTAGAATCGACCACTTTCGTCTGAAGCGTTTAGATCGCTTTTCAAGAGCGATCGAGCACCGACAGACGAGGAAATAAAGGAGAAGGAGATGGCTAAGGTACACCAAGCGCTGGACTGCAACATTGCACAAGTCTAACAACACCATAGATCGAAGACATTACACACCTTCTTGCCGAGAGAAACATCACCGACGTTTCTGCTGAACACATTCGAGACTCCCTGAACAGCAAATTCGCCGACGGCGACGTCGACAAAACCGTCGAGTTTATTCAGCTGCAATGCAAAGCAATGGCCGGCAAGGTTACACACTACAATCCTCAAATCGAGATGGTTGGCGCAGAGAACAGGGGCAACGTCACATGCTACCTTGACTCTCTGTTGTTCGCCATGTTTGCGAAGCTGGACGCCTTCGAATGCATGCTGAAGAACGAATTTACGGACGAACCAAGGCGCAAATTGGTCACGCTGCTGCGCTTGTGGGTGAACATGCTGAGGAGCGGGAAAATGATTCACGCGGATATGGTGAGTTGTGGCTCGTCCTGTAGTACTCAACATACGCTAATTGTCACAGACCAAACTGATACAGGATGCGCTGGCCGAGTGCGGCTGGAGTGACGCCAAGCTCCTTGAGCAGCAAGATACTTCCGAAGCCTTCGCGTTCGTCACCGAGACGCTCCAATTGCCCCTATTACAACTACAAGTCGACCTCTTCCACCATGGCAAGAACGACAAGGACGACCACAAGCTGGTCTATGAGAGACTTCTGAATCTAGCGGTGCCCCCTGACTCCGAAGGCAAAGGGATCAGGCTGGAAGACTGCCTGGAAGAATACTTCAACACACAAGTCGACGTACTCAGGGACAGCCACGAGGACAAGAAAGAGGCGGAGAGGATAGC